GTCCTTGCCACCACACGCCCCGCTGACGCTCCAGCTGTCCGAGCGGGCGGCATAACGCAGCAGCACGTAGCGCAAGGTGCCCCCCGTCACGTAGATCTCCCCATCGCACACTGTGGCCGTGTGGGCCACGGCGAAGGTGTCGTGGGGCAGGGGTGCGGTGAAGGTCCAGCGGTCCTGCCGGGGGTCGTAGCGCTCCACCGTGTAGAGGCACTCGCCGCCGATGGCATAGAGGTGGCCATCCAGGCACTCGCCGCCAATGGCATAGAGGTGGCCATCCAAGGCCACGAGCTTGCAGTGTGGCCGTGCTTGGTTCAGAGGGCAGATCTCCCTCCAGATGTTGGTCAGGGGGTCATAGCAGAAGACACGGTTGGAGGGTCTCTGCATCCGGCCCGTGCCCTCGCAGCCAGCCACCACGAAGAGGTAGTTGAACATGCTGCACATGGCGCACCCCTGGGAGACCACCTCCGGCGGCATGTGGCAGAGGTGATGCCAGCAGTCCCCTCTATCATCGTAGTAGCAGAGGCGGCTGGTGTGGAAGCCAGGCTCCTGCACGTTGACGTCCGCCACGGCCACATACATCTTCCCCTTCATCCTCCGCCGCAGGATGAGCTCCCGCTCGCCGGCATTGAGGCGGCCGTAGATGGAGGGTGTCCTCAGCACCTGCAGGTAGTTGTCGCTCATCACCTTGTAGGCGGCCTCCTGGAGGTGGCGAAGCTTCTGTGCCTTGGCTGTGCAGAGGACCTCATAGCAGTTCCCCAGGTCCAGGTGGGTGGGTGGTGGCATTTGGAAGAGGTCAGCACTGGCCACTAGCCCTGGCTGGGGGCTTGCAGGTGGCGTGCCGCCTGGCGCTGTGACCCTAAACCCCTCCATGGGCAGCTGGAGGTGGGGGCTGTCGGCGATCTGGAGGATGCTGTCCTTGCGCCCAGGAGATGGTGGCTCAGGGGAGATCTCCAAGCTCCCCGTAGGTGGTGGAATTGTGGAGGAGGTGGTGGGATCTCGTGTTGCTGAAGTTGGGCCCAGCTTCTGGGTTGCAAAGCTCTGCAGCTCTTCATTGACCTGCTCCGAGCTGTGGCGCCGGGATGTTCCCAGAGGGATGTAGGGGAAAGACCTCTTCTTCGATACCGACTGGGAGATGGACTGGACGTAATAGTCATAGACTTTGCCTTTGAGGCCGGGGACCGGCTGCCCAGCCCCATCCTTCACCCGCTGCTCAGCGATGTAGTTCTCCTCCACCTGGATCTTTGCGACCGAGGAGAAAGAGTAGGAAGCGTCCGACCCCGCGTTGCTCGCCATCATCGTTAGCCCCAGGTCTGAGGTGACACTGAGGGTCTGGATCGTCCCCCCGCACCCCTTGGCCTCCCGGCTCGTGCCTCCACCAGCCAAATCCTGCTCTGTGCTCTGGGCCTGTCCATCACCTGCCATCTGGGAATTAGCAACCCCGGGGGAAAGCCCGGTGCTTGGGGCAAGTGTGCCCTCCTCCCCGTGGCTGCTCAGTGTTTCAGCCGCGTCCCCAGGGTCATAAGAGCTCAGTTTGCTTCCTGGCTTGCTTGCTGGCTTGCTTGCCAGCTCACTTCCCGGCTCACTTCCTAGCTCACTTCCCAGCTCACTTCCCGGCTTGCTTCCTGGCTCGCTTGCCAGCTCACTTCCCGGCTTGTTTCCTGGCTCACTTCCTGGCTTGATTTCTGGCTCGATTTCTGGCTCACTTCCCAACTTACTTCCCGGCTCGCTTCCCGGCTCACTTCCCAGCTCGCTTCCTCGCCTGGCCATCCCCACTCCTCTGCAAGTCAACCCCAGTTCAGAAACTATCTTCTCTCCTTCCTCCTCCTCCTCCTCATCCCTCGGCAGGCTTCGATCCCCCCGGGGAGGCGTGCGCCGTGTCCCAGGGACGCTCACTTGACCGCTCTCTTGTGCATCCCCACCATCCCTCCTCGCCTCCTCACCAAACACCCTCCTCCGTCGCAGACCCACCGCACCGTCCCCATCTCCATCCCAGGCAGCGTTTTCCCTCTGCTCTCCTCCCGCATCGGCCGGCAGGATTTTGTCCCTGGCAAGCGAGCAGGACTTATAAAACCTGTACGCCAAAGTCAGGAGGAGCAGAGCGGCGGCGGAGAGGACCAGCTTGCCGGCCAGCTGCATGTCGGACTGCCAGGGCAGGGTTACTCGCTGGGGCATTTTTCCATGCCGGGAATGCGGAGAAGCCGATTAATGATTGCTGAGCGAGCCCGGAGCGTGGAGCTGAAGGTTTGGGGCAAGGTGACTTTGAGCAGGCAAAGCTGGCAGGAGGTTTCCGGGCAAGCTTTGCGTGTTTGGGATGGGCTGGGCTCTGGGGAAAAGGTGCAGCCCAGAGCTGGCAGCACAGAGCCGGCTTTATTAGCCTGGTAAACAGAGAGGCTCAGAGAAAAGCAAAAGGAAGCACAAAAGGAGGAAAAGTATCTCCTCCGAGCAGCCCGATGGTGCTGCCTCCCCACATCTTTTGCTGTTTAAGAGGGATCACGCAATGGAAGGGGAAAATAAGTTGTTTCATCCAGGAAAGGTCCCTGGGTGCAGGCACAGGGAAGGGAGGGAGAAGCAGCCCGATGCCGGGCAGACCTTTGGTCCGACACTGAGCAGCTGCTCTGCGGCAGAGGCAGGTGACTAATTCGGTAGCCTTCATTTGCGGCACGCTGGCTAACGAAGGGTGACGGGAAATAGCCCGAAAGCTGCTGGGGTCTCTTTGAGGCCAGCCTGGAAATGGCAGTGGAATTAAAAGCCGGCGGCAGAGGCGCTGGAGGCTTTGGGAGGGGGAAAAATCCGGCACCAAAGAGCAAATAAAGGCAGGAGTGAAACTGCAGCTGGTGGCTGTGGCGTTCAGAGACCTGCATCCATGTGAACGGGGAGAGGGATGAACTAAGGAAAGTGAATGAAAGCATTGGGACCAGGAAGAAATTTGGGATTGGAAGGGATGGGAGAGATGCGAGTCGTCATTTCAAAGTGATGTGCTGCTGCGTGTGGGATGTCTGCAGGGATTGGAGTCGCTGTGGGGAAACTGAGGCACAGAGGATGCCAGACAGTGTCATGCTTGCTTCCTTCTCCCCCTGGAAATATGTTGATGATGTGATGTGTCTGGTTCTGATCTGAATTTCAAAGGTTTAGGGGAATTGTCATTCCCCGTCGTCCCCGAGGCATCCAGGTCCCTGTGTCTGGACCGTGGTGGGGGGAGAGGAGGGGGCCTGGGGAATGGCATCCCTCCGCAGCCCCTGCTAAGCGAGCTGAATTCAAAGGGATAAAATTAATTTCCTTTTCCCCAAGGGGAACGTCTTGCATGCTGAGAGATGCATAAAGAAATGAGGCCCTACAAGGCAGCGAAGAAACAGCCAAAATGTGGGTGGGGGTGGGTGGCTACTTCTGTTTATATGCAGGGATTCGCTCCCCACTAACTTGGTCCCGATCCACTGGGATTTGCCAGAGAAATGAACCCAGGTGATGCTAAAACAACTCCTTGTACGAAGTGTGGGTGTGATGGGTCCCAACTGCATGGGTCATGGGTCCGTGCGGTGGGATGAGGTCTCGCCATGGGTCTTTAATGGGTGGTTGGTGCTCGTGAACTCACGCACGGCGTCCCAGCCTCCCAAACCACCTCCTGTGCCGCAGCTGATCTTCACCAGACGTTGCACAAGCTCGGGCACTGCCTTTTGCGATGCGGAGGAACCTCCTTGGGGCACATTCCTCACCATTACCAGCATCTGCAAGCACCGAGATGCCCTCCCTGCCAATGCTGAGATGCTGCTTTTCGCCTGATGGCTTCACACGGGGACCATGGTGGTGCTGAAGGGCATGGGGGTGCTTGTATATCTGCTGCTAGACTTGCCTCCTCCCGTTAGGTGGAGGACCACGTGCTAAATAGCATAATATTTATATGTATATATAGAAAGTGGATGGAAAGGAAGCAGAGGGGCAAACTCCCCATGCTGGCTTGGCAGTTGGGGACCCCTGTGCACATCCCTGCTGTGAATGGGGAGAGCCCGCCAGCGGCTTTTAGGGGGATGTTTGGGACGTTGTCACCTTGTATGGGTGCAGCGTGAGGAAATGCAGCAAAGAGCCTGGGGGAATGAGGATATTTAGATTAAGAGCTGGACCGATGCATCCTGCTCGGTTGCATCTCGAGCTTGGGCCAGGGGCCAAAACAACACCAGCCAAAACCCACCCAGCCACTCCCCTCCATCCTATTTGGCATGGGGACCCAAAATCCATCGTTGGGGGGCTTGGTCCGGCCAAAAACTCGGGGAAGGCGTATGCCTCCTGCCTGCAAATGCAGAGGGTCCCGAAGCCGAGGCTGAAGTTGGGGTAACGGGGATGTGCATCAAGGCTGGGCACGTGTTTCAGGGCTTGGCTAATTGGCAAAGGGTCTGGCCACCCATGCGTGGCCATGACCCCGCGTTTCTTCATCTCTCACTGCCGCAGTTTTTAATCTGCAGGTAGATGTGCAAAGATCCTTGCGTTTGTGAGCTGGGAAGTATGAATTATGCATGCGCTTGGGGGCCCTGTGAACCCGGCCACGGCAGTAACTGTGCCCGGTAATGAGGTGGGGAAGGCTGGGGAAGCACCGAGCAAAGCCCACCATCGCTCCTGCCGGCATTCCCAGCCCCGTCAAGCCAGAGCATCCCTGGTTTTGTGCCCCCCATCCTAATATCCCAAAGGGCTGGGGGGCTTGGATGTGCCACATCCTTGAGAGAGGCAGAGCTGGGCTGCCAAAAGCCCAACTCTGGGTGCATGCCAGGATAAGCGCGGTTATCCTTGTCATCGGTGGGGTTTTATGGACCTTGGGAGGGCGAATCACGGAGCGCAGAGGGAGGCGAGGGTGTTTTTTGGCAGGCAGTGTGCTCTGGGTGCTGTTGCCTTCACAAATGGCAGGATGGGGGGACCAGAGCCCGACTGCCGAGCTTGAGCTGCCAGGGATGATGTCAGGAAGGAGGATCCCCATGGCAAAAAGACAGGTCCGACGTATAAATGTGTATTTATTTATGCCTTGTGGTAAGGAGGACGAGCGGCAGTGTAAGGGAGCAGGGGACACAGCCATGGCGTCTCCGAGCAGCGGTGACGTCTCGGCACTTGTGACTCTAATTGAATGTAATTGCCTCCTCCGAATTTTGCTAAAACCTTTTCAAAGTCCCCTGAAATTAGGGAACATCGATAACACCGCTCCTTGGGGTTTTCAGCTCGCGTCATCCCTAAGAAGCACGATTAATTTTTTACAAGCTAATCATATCTCTTAGGCAGGTTGTCAGCTGCGGATCTGTCATCTCTCATCAATAATGAAACAGCCTGAGCAGCTCTTTCCCCCTCCAGCCTCCTGCATTATTCACTGCCAGGTCCTCAAACAACGGTGTGTGTGGTAGGGGGGAGCCAGGGATTTAATTGATGTCCTTTGTAATTACCTGTAGGAAGGTGGATGGGGATGGGGAGGCAGGGCTGGTAGGTGGTGGGTGAAGGATGGGAGGGGCAGGAGGTAAAGGCAGGGTCCAGCATGGCATGGGAAGTCTTCTTTGGATCACTGCTTTGGTGGGGTGGCATCTCTCCGTGTCCCTCACCTTGGGGGCACTTTGGGAAAGCAGGCAGCGTCTCTGCCCAAAATGGGGAGAGGCTCCCGTGTCCCCTCGGTCATCTCTTTGGCTGTGCTGGTGCTGAGAAGGTCCCATCCTATAGCCTGATCCATCACCATGGGAAAGAGCTAAGCATCCTGAATGCACACAGAGGGGTGGTTTTGGGATGCGGGATCTCTGATCCCACCGGTCCTCTCCCAACCTCTGGATAGGGAGGTCACATCACTCTTGAGATGGCACCATGTGGAGCTGGTTGATGATGGCACTGCCTCTCTAATGTTCCTCATTTCCATGGTTCCGGGCTAAAACCGCCACATTTGCATTTAAATGGAGGTTTGGGCATCTGTAAATCCTCATTTTTCGAAGTGAGAAGGCCTAATGGTTGTTTAATCACGTTGGGATGAGACCCTGGAGCATCTCCAATCCAGCCAGGAGGGCGAGGAGCATCCGCGCCATGGTCGGGGGTTCTGCTGCCTGCTCGGTAGCATGGGGGTAAGCTGAGTGACATGGATTTCCCTAAAAAATAAAGGTTTCCCTAAAAATTTATGGTTCCCGTCTCGCCCAGGGAGGTACAATGGGCTGGAGCAGTGAAAGTGGTCGGGGAGAGGGCGGGGGGGGAGTGTTGGTTCAGGCAGCTGGTCCGAAGGGACCCGGGTGCTCAGATGCTGTTGCTTTGGGATGGAAGCGGAGCCGCTGATCCTCCTACATCCCAGCCAGCCCCAGTCTGACCCTGCATCGCCGCCAGCCCAAATTATTGCGTATGGGAAGAAACTCCTGAGCTGCCATGTATTTGTTCAGCTCCTTTGAGGCTGGGAAATCGCTCGCAGCGAAGTTGGCAACGGAGCATGGTAGGGACTGAATCTGCTTAATAATAATTAATCATAATAGTAATAATAATGCTTAGCACTCGTACACGGCTTTGGAAAGATGAAGCGCTGCATGGCTGCCGGCTAATCCTCTAGGATTAAGAGTTCCCGGAGGAAAAGGCAGGGAAGCGCCCCATCCTCGGGCTCCTCTCCCCCTGCATCCACTCCCCAGGGATTCTGGCCCAGGCCAGATGCTCTTGGGGCACCGCGGGGAGGCAAAGCAGCCAGGCAAACCGCCGGCATCCCCCAGCACTGCGCAGGATTGGGCCAAAACCACCTGTGTTTTGTCAAGAGCTGTCCTGCAGCAGGATTAACACCTTACCCAAGCGGCACGGGGTACTGTAGGAATGGCCAGGATCTGGCCGTGCTGCACCATTATCTGTTTCCGCGGCGACAGTTAGCCAAGAGGGATGGGGAGGGTGGCATTGGACCAAACGTGGGCGCAGTGCTTTAACCTCGGCTGGTGCCTCCGTGCCGGCACTGCCCGACGGGACGCATGCTGCCTGCTCATGAGTGAGCGCTGACATTTTGGGTCGGGAGCCGCCTGTCATTAGAGATTGACCATCCAGCCCCCCGGGACAAGTGCACGGCTCCCGTCTTCCAGCAAAGCCGACTTGCCGCAACCAAGGTGCCGGGATGTAAGGCCAGTGATCTGTGGCTTTCGGGCTCCCAGCGCCGCCGTCCGTGTGTAGGACTCACCCCCAACGTCCCTCCCTGGGGACACGTACGGTCCCTATCCTGGGGAGCTGAGACCTGGAGCAGCTCGGTGCAGTGGGAACGTTGTAAATGGATTTTTCCAGGGGAAATCTGGCCCTTGCATAATAGGCACCCCCCCAAGACCTTGCAAAGCCTCTGGGTACCCCAAAATGGTTCTGGATACCCCAGCACAAGGCAAAACATTAAGCACAGCCTTCTACCGGGGGAGATTTTTCTTTTTCCTTTTAATTAAATTGTCTGAGGAAGCCAAGACACAGACAGAAAGAGACCGAGACTGTAAATAGTATAGAAAAAAAAAAAAAGAGAGAGTGAGAGAACCGATTGACGGAGGTGTAAATGCCAGGTGGAGCCGTATGGAGGAAGAGGAGGAGGAGGAGGAAGAAGAGGCACGTGAAGCTTCACGTTAGCTCCAGGATCACTGTTAGGGTGAGCGCCAAAACTAGTCTGAAGCCGCAGTGGCCGGTAAGTGAACCTAGGCAGGAGGAGAAAAGGGATGGGGAGTTTAGGGAGCCGCGTCTCGCTGCTTGGGTTCAAAGCAGGATGGGGTCACCACCTTTTTTTTGGGGGGATCCCCCTCCTAAACTTCTATGGAGCTTGTGTGGGGCGGGCAGCAGGTCAGGGATGCTGCGGGGAGCATCCACAGGGCCCCTTTTGGTGCAAGGACATCCCTGCTGCCAAGGGCAAGGGCTTGGGATGAGGCAAGGAGAGATGCTCAAGGGCTTGGGGCCATGCAAGGAGAGATAGCCAAGGACTTGGGGCAATGCAAGGAGGGATGATCTCTGCACAGTCCTTCCCTCCCTGGGGGGGGGTTCGGGTCAAAATACCAGTCCCACCACCACTCACCGTTGGAGTCCTCTGTTCCTCTGGGAATATTTGGGTTTTCTAATGGGAAAGAAATAGCAGAGAGACAGTTTTATTGGGGAGGGGAAATGAGTGAGGATTTGTGGAGGGAGGGGTGACCCCCGCGGTGCTGCCATACCGAAAACGATGAGCCGGGTGTGGGTGTCGGTGGACCCCAGGGGGTTCTGGGCGGTGCAGCGGTACATGGAGCCGTTGAGCTCGGCCGGCACCCGCTCCAGCACCAGCTCCTTGCCATCATGTTCGGTGCTGCCGTCGAGGAGCCGGCTCCCCACCCGGGTCCAGGTGAAGAGGGGCTCAGGGAAGACTTCATTCTGTGGGGAGATGGGGGGCTGTGAGATGGGTGTAGGGGGTAAGCCCTGCCTCAAGCCTGGAGCAAGGACAGGGTACAGCCAAAACGCCCAGGGGTGCACTAGTGTAGGGACCATGATGCAACTCAAGGCCACCAAGCCAACCCCATAAAGTGCTGGTATGGATGCAAGGTTGTCCATTGGCACAGCATCGCCCCACGGCGATGGGGATGGACGGGGATGCTGACCTGGAAGCCCTGCACCAAGATTCGCACGGTGTCTCCGACGCGGGCTCTTGTTGGGGTCATCATGATCTTCGGGCCCTTGGGAGCAACTGCAAGAGAAGGGGACAAGAAGGGCCATCAGCCAAGCAAGGGGTTCCCGGTGCTGGTGGGTGCCCTTGGCCAGGGATTATGATGGTTTGATGAAT